TTTATCTTGCAATAATGACCCATATAAGGTAAGTATATGTAGCTTAAGAAATGGGTTAAAGTAGAGGCCCAATAGATAAGTAAATGGACTAACAATTAATCTCTCTCAATAATGCCCATCTAAGGAAGCGAATTGGGCCACGAGCAACACTAAAATATTTATGTTACTTCGAGTGGCCCAATTAACCTTTGGATCGTATTGTCTTCGTTGCCATGTTAAATTCCCGTTTAGTCATTTGGCTAAGCCGACTGAAAAATAAACTGAGTAATATCATAGTTCGGGGGAGGTCGTTTGACAACAAATTGCCTAATACTTGTGTTATGAAATAAACACTTTTATTTGCATCCACGCTTCCGTCTTGCATCATGAAACTCGTAAGTCTCATAAAATAAATAGTCGAAAAAAAACAAATTTTAAAAAATGAGAACCAAATGGAGGCTAAACCAAATAAGAAGCTTTACGACAATGCCAACGACAATTCTCAACGTTATGCTAAGTTATGGTATTTATTTGTTCCAAGGTCAAAGTTATAAAATTTAAACTTATTTTAAAGCAAAACTAAAATTTTGAAATCTACGAGACTAGTTAAGTTCATTGTCCTCATTCTAAATCCGCCCTTGGTTTTTTGAAGACATTCTCATCTCTCGACCCTTTTCTTATAAATTGAAGGTTCCAAGTTGTTCGAATTTTATTTTAGCTTTAGTTTGAGCTTTGGGAAAAAAATGTATTTTGAAATAGTGATTTTTTTTTTTTTTTGAGAATATGTGATTAAAAAATAAGACTTTTTTTATTTATATGTAAAATTATTTTATTAAAAACTGTGAGATTAAAAATGAGTTTTAAAGAAATTAAAATTTTGGAAAAATGGGCTCAAACAATGCATGTCTCAAAAAAATTTGTTAGAGCACATATCAAATACTCTCTTCGTCTCATTTATCTATGCTTATTATTATTTTTTCTTTTCCTAATTATATAGTCTTATTTCTTTATTGAGCTTGTTTTATTTTGTTCGTTTACTAATTTACCCTTATTTAGTTTGTCTAATTATAACAAATATTTTTGCTTAATCTTGAAATTGTATAAATATAAATAAGAGTAAATTAGAAAAATTATTGGCAAAAATTACTTTTTCAATTACATTAATAAAATTTCTTAATCCATGTGAGAAACATATCGGGCCCGTTTGGGATGGTTTTTGAAAAGCCAAAAGGAGTTTTTGAGAGCCAAAAGCCGCTTTTGGACCATTTGGCTATTTTTGTTTAAAGTGCTTTTAGAAGTTAGAAGAGCTTTTAGAAGAAGTTGGTTTTTTTGGATTCCTTCAAAAGCACTTTCGGAATGGGAAGTGATTTTAAATATTAATTTTCAAACAAAAATTAAAATAGCTTTCTCCAAAAACTCTTCTACAAGAAATAAAAGTCAAAATAAAAATCGTGCCAAACGGACCCATCAAACTTTTATAAATGGGACGATATGAGCATATCATCTTTCTTGCATGATTTGAAGCGTCTTTTTCATGACCAAACGTAGCCATTCTTAAACACGGCTACACGTGGAAACCTGTGTGTCACTTATTAATTAGTAGTTAATATATTATTGCAGTGATCTAAACTTTTGTAATTAAAAGATTGAATAATGGGAAACGGTTAAGCCGACTGTCTCTAATCAACTACCAAAATAATCGTTCTTAAATCATTTGATTACAAGTGACATTATAAGATCAGTTTTTTTGGCAACTTTTTTAATAAACACGAATCATGGAATGGCAGATATACAACGGTTTTGAAACTTCTTTATTAGTTTCCGTATATTCGAAGATGCTTTTACAACCCCCAATTTTATTTTTATTTTTTTTATACATGTTTTCACGCTATTGTTGCAGCCTAAAGGTCAAGAAATCGAAAGAAGAGATGACCTAACACCCACAAAATAATCTCACTCGGAACAAAATTACTTAAAAGAGGAAAGACTTTGGACAACTCAAAACGAGTTACAATCGAGATCACTGACAAAAAGACCATTTTTACATGCACAAAGTAGTTCCTTCGAAAGTCCATAAATTTCGCATCTTTAGTCATTGTTTTTCGAAGAGTCTTTGATAATAGCAGCAACGTCTTTGATGAATTATAGTTAGGGAAAATTGCATCTGAGGTACCAAACCTTTCGTTTATTAGCAGATTTTGCCCAAACCTTTAGTTTGTGCCACCGAAGGTACCAAACCTTCAAAAAATGCGCACCGGAGTTCGAATTGACAGAAACTGTTAGTTTGACCATCAAAACCATTAGTTGACCCCAAAATTGACATTGACCAAAATTTTGACTGATTTTTGAAGGCTAAAATTGTAACTTTACATTTTTTAACAAAAAAGACAATTATAATATATATTGATAATTAAATTAAAAAAACAAAAATCAAAAATCAAAATATAAAACCACCCACCACCCTTCCCTTCTTCCCCAATCCCAGAGCCCCAAAAACCACCACCGTCACTGTCCACCGCCACAGCCAGCACCACGTCTCAACCTCCAGTCATTACAAGAATTTGCGCCACACTTCCCTTCTTCTCCAATCCTAGAGCCAAATCCAATTTTATGAATTTGGAATTTTCGTTTTTATGAATTTGGCTGAAATTTGTATATCAAATGATTGAAGATGCGATTGTGACGCCGAAGGGAAAACTGGATTTAGTTAGTATGTAGTTACAATCATTAAGGAGAAGCAGAAAAATCTCCCATCGAATTTGTTTCGAGACTTTTGACCAAAAATTTCATTAAAAATGAGCTCCCAAAGATCTTCAAAACCCTCAAATCCTTCCAACCAGTCGGGCCCTCCGAGATCGTCTTCTGCTTCATCTTCATCTTCTTTATCATCCCATTTGGCAATGAGGCTGAAGGATTTAGATTCCCAGGTTAGGGAGGCCTGTTGCAATACAGTTGGCTCGCTGTCTGCACTGTACTTGAAGGGTGGAGGAGGGAGTGATTGGGTGGCATCGCTCTTTGTCAAGCCGTTGTTTGAGGTGATGGGCGAAAATAACAAGGCTGCGCAAGGCGGAGCAGTAATGTGCATGGCGTTGGGCGATCGACTGTTTATTTGGAGAATTTGAAGGCAGTGAATGGATGGCGTTAGGCGGTCGACTGGTGTTCAAGGGGTAGCATTGGGCGGTCGGTTGGCAGGTAGGGAAGTGAGTGGTTCCTGGTTTTTGGTTTTGGGGTGGGTGTTTGTAGGGTGAAGTGGAGAAGATGAAGTATATTTCTTTTATTTTAATTTTTTATATGAAAAATATAAAGTTACATATTTGACCTTTTAAAAATCAGTCAAAATTTTGATTAATGTCAATTTTGAGGTCAACTAACAATTTTGATGGTCAAACTAATGTTTCTGTCAATTTGGACTCCGGGTGCACATTTTTTG